AAAAATAGTAATAATTAATAATTAATTAATTAATGCTACTGCCCTCCTCTCAGAGTGGCAGTGAGAGATGGTCCTTGATGCCAAGATCGGTGTAACTCTTAAGATCACACTTTAAGAGCTCTAAACTCTAATGCTGTTCTTGCCTAAATGGAAGAGAAAGGCGGGGGGGGGGGGGGGGGGGAAATCAAGCTCAGAAGAAGCAACATTACAGCAAATTCCAAGACAGAGAATAGTGAAAAAAAGTCCCATTTATTTGAAGATCTGTCAGTAACAGATACATATTAAGGAGCAAATCAAGTCCTATCACAAGTTATGAGTAAAAACATTGATTACTTAAAGGCTGAACTTGACCCTAGAAACATTCCTGTAAAAAAATCTGTGGCACCTCAGCTGCTTGCCTGGGAAACGTAGAGGACATTCACAAACAACAGACATTTTCATTTTAAAAAAAAGTTAAATTTCTTCAACTCAGTTCCACTCATGTACAAAATGGAACAAGATGACTTAACTAGGTTGTTAGGAAAACTCTATGAACCTAAGAAGTATTTTGCCATGCCAATAGGGAAGTCTGTCAGTTGAGGTGTGAGACTGTTTTTCTTCATTGGTTTGACTCATCTATTCTCCGTCGACAGAATGGACAACAATTATGCTGGAGTACGAGAAGCTCATAGTCTTCTGTGTGAAACATCTGTTAATTAGGAACAGATTTAGGGACAAGTTAGCCAGTGACTAGCTCAAAGAAAATGCAAACTGAGCTCAGCGGCTTCTCTATGGCACAGACACTCTGAAGCTATCATTACAAGAGAATTGATCCTCTTACTTTCAATTGCTCGAGAGAGCTATCACCTGGAATAGAGCAGCAAGCATTTCACAGACCACTGCCAACGTTGCTGAAGAGAATTAACTACTTTTGCAGAAGGAAGGACAAAAATTAGACAGTTTCTGTGTAAGTAAATGTGACTGAAAGGAGAGGGACTGAACCACAAGCTAACTTAGTTACTGACGGATTCTCCCTGACAGATTCTCCCTGCTAGACCAGGCTGAAAGTCAGAGGGGCAGAGCAAAAAGAAATAAATACAAATCAGCACTTCCTGTTAAGCCAAGGGTTGCTAGAGAGGCTCTGACTTGCTGTCAGTGCAAATTCAGCTACCTGAAAGTGTTCAGAAGGCAGCTGTTCCTCTGTGCATCACACAACTTATTTTTTGGTTTTGCCTTCTCTGTCTCTACATCATTCAGGAGTTTGTTGAATACATTTTAAAGTATGAGGTTTCAATTACTAGAATGGTTTTGGCGATAGGTTTCTCAGTAGGGTTTTGTTGTTTTTTGCGGGGGGTGAGGGGGTAGGGATGGTGGTGTTTGTTTTGTTTTTTAAACCTTTCCATGAAAACACTACCTGAAAACATGATGGACACATGGTAATGGAGGCATCTGGTAGCAGGGAACGGTAGTACTGCCACCGCAACGGCTTCGGCCAGCGTTTAATCAGGACATCCCGCCGGCTCATGGACTGGAGAACAGCACGATTCACAATCACTGGAACAAATTCTGAGCCTCCTTGCTGCGGGAGAGCAGGTTTAGAAAGAATTAGTTACCAACTGCAAAGCCCTTTTAGGATTAACAAGATCTTGTAAGAAGCAAAGTAAAATTCAGTAGAAAAAGCTAATACAGAACTGGGCCTGTGGCCCACCAAACTCACTGTCAGTTTTACCAATACCTTTAGTGACAGCAGCATCCAGCCACATCTCTTACGTTGGTTTCAGTGAGCTTCCATGATTGTTTTTAACACAATTTCTTGTCAATAACAGCCATGCCCACAGTCTTTATTAACTTCACAGTAACAACTGTTTTATAGGTATAGTACTTAGATACAGTAATACCCTCAGGAACAGCCCTGTTGTATCGTTGTATGATGATAAAACCATAATTCTTTACTTTTAAGATCTTTGTTGTTTTATGATTTTTGGGTTTTGGCGTAGTTTTTTCAGTTTGGGGTTTTGTTTTTGGTTTCTGTATGTTTTTAAGAGAGGAGTTAACGGGTAAATCCCTTTCCCTCTCAAGTTCCATCCCTCTCTTCCAGTTCCCTACTTTGTATCTCTCTTGCGGTAGTCTCTGTAACACATTCACACCACAAGAGCGGCATGGATTATAAGTTAAAGTTTTTTATTCATTTCTGTTGGTAGCAAGAAACAAACAACTGGAAGACACAGGTAAGGCTCTTACCTCAAAGCTCAATTTTGCTGTAAAGGGATCATCATCTTCAGTAATATCTGTATTGTCATCGAGCCTCAAACACTGTGCATCTAGATGCATTTCTCAAGGAAGAAAAAAGAGTTCCTATAAAATTATCTGTCCCCACAGTAGCTAGCAGTCACAGAATAAATATGAAAGCATGCCAGCAGGACCGGTATACTTGTTGCTCCAGAGGGTCAGAGTATTCTCAAACTGATACAGTGCCTAGATTTTTATAGAAAGTACTAGAGAAGAGCTTGCTGTGATTCACAGCGACTGGGGAAATTTATCATGGCAGCTGCTGTAGCACAGCAAAACTGACCACAACTAAGTATGACATCAGCTCTGCCTTCTTTCCCTCTCTGCCCCCTTCTGACAGATGACAAAAAGCAAATGAATCAAACTATGTAAATTACATTTTTCAGCAGCTTTAGTCAGAGATTGTGTTTTCTTATGTGTTACTCCGCACGTAACATTATATGGCCCCCACAGCAACTGGAAGCTCTTGATGCCAAAGCATTACAAAACAGATTCCAACGGGAATGGTTATGAAGATAGCCCATGCTGGTTTCACTTGGCTAAAAGGCGGCAGACTCTAAAGCAAGCTGTGATTGGGACTGAATTACACAATTCAGATTCTCCCCATTCTTCACAGAAAGCAGTTAAAACAGAAGAGGTAAAGCATGGCATTCCATTGTTAAAAACTTCACCTGACTAGAAACAAATTTTTCTGATGAAAAAGCTTTATGAAAATATTAGGTTTAGTTAAAACGTCAGTTCGGTTGTTATACTAACTTGAAAAGGAAACATGATGCAATTGTACTCACATCAGTCATATGACACAGAATTTTAAACCTAAGCTGGCAAAAAAAAACAACAAAAAAAAATTGTTGCTTTTTTCCCTACGAAGAAGGCTAGAAAACAATTTTAATCAAAAGGATACGGTCACTCATCATCTCTTGCCACTTATTCTCTCTTTTATTCAATCTTGGAGCTTCAAGATCAATGAGAGCTACAGCTTCTTCATCTGTGATGCCATCTTCCAAATAGAACTCAACCAGATGCAGTACTTCTAAAGGGGTGTGAAAAAAAGGAGTATTTGACCTGCCAGAACTCAGAAGATAGAGAGAAGATAGAAGATACTGTGCCCCTTGAGAAATTATCACCCTCTGGCTTCTACGACAGTGGTGTTCTGCCCACATGTACTCATGAAGCAAGTTAAACAACATAAAATTAGAACAAACCAAACCCCTCTCAACTTCTCAAAGGATTGCATCTCTGTTAATGAAACACTTTATACATTCAGTGTCTCATAATAAAGCAATAATTTTACTGCTGCTGCTATCTTGCAATGAAATCCAACAATCCCTGGGACAAGAGGCAGCCATTTAGTCAAATCTAACAACATTAAAATGAAAGATTTGTTTGTCTAAACAACATTGCAGAGAGAACAAATTAAGTACTAAACTACTCTGTTCAGGTAACATTTAACTTGAAAAGCAAACGTGATATTCCAACGCACCATAGGAAGAAGCGGAGAAGACAAAAGGTTGTCTGCAGTTAATGCAGACGTTCCCCAAGTTATTTAGCAAAGGGTTGTTGGTAGAGCACCTGTAACACAAGGGCACAAGCTCCTGCAAAGACACATACAGAGCACAGTAACTGTAAACAGATCAGCACACCCTGAACTCTTTGTTTTCAATTAAATATGGGCTCCTTAGGTTTACACCACTGATATTACATCAGCAGTAATTGGGAGAAATACTCCTGTGAAATCAGATCCTTTAACATCTGAAAATACTTTCCTTTTTTAATAAACCAGCAAGTTTTCACATTAAAAATAGCTGTCTTCACCATTCTAACAACTAAATTTTCACCTTGCCTTTGCAGTAACAGAAGCAGAATTCTGCATCAAATACACAGTGACAAAAGAAGTTGAAGAGAAGGTTACTGAAGCAAAGTTTTTTGCTCTAAGGTTTGGTCAAATTCAAGTTCTCCAATTAATTCGTCTCTTCTTTTCAAGAGCACAGTTATTTTAGGCAGTTCTTAAGATTGTATTCCTATTATTTCAGGTGGCCAGGTGCATGTTCACTTGCACAATACGATTTATTTTTAGTGAGTACTCCATGAGACATGGCTTTATAGAACACTGCAGAAAGTCAGACTTCAGTTAAAGAAGAAAAGGTGTTAAAATAAGACTTAAGGAAGGAAGGTCATTCAAGGGATAAGGGGAGGAGGGAAGGAGTGTAAGGAGTGGGACAAATGAAAGTGACCTCCAGCTGGAGAGAGAGACAAAGACCATGGAGTAATTGCATGTGAATCGGAGAGAAAAGGGTTTGAAGAATTAATAGGCAGAGAGGAAGGTAGATGCAAGACAGGAGAGGGAGGATGGAAGCTGCCCATAAAGAAAGGACGGATTTTAATTTGTTCTCAGGAGCAAAAGGAAGTCTGACCTGAAGAATAACAACAAAAGGACTGTGTTTCCATCAGAAATATAATTATATCACAGAGCTATGCATAATACATTTCAGATTTTTTGTGCATAGAGCAACTCAGATTCTTGGATTAGGCCACATATTAATGATTAACATGAAACACGTTACAACTTACTTCACTGTCATGGAACGGCTTGGATCGGATTGTCAGGCTGCCCAGCTCAATTGATTTCTGGAACCTAGCCGGGATCTGCAGTCCCTGTAACTTGTCATAAGCATGACGAGCCAGTTTATATGCACCAAGAGCTTTACTCTGTTTTGCCAGAGCAAATAATGTATTGCTATAATTTAATTAAGGAATAAAAATACATATGGCATTTAGGAAAAAACGCAATACTCTTTCTAATCAGAGAAGTTGTGCAATGAAGCATATCCAACACCAGTACTTTAAACAGGTTTTAACAACTGAAGTCTATTTACATAACTCCATTAAAAACAAGTATGAAAAAACTATCAAAATGTCTGTGGGCAATTATTAGCAAGGTAAGGAGTTGACCCTACATAAACATTGCTTTCGTTATATATTCTGACTCCACTTACAAAATTTCAGTAATTTTAGAGTGAATGGATTTTTCCCCAGCGCAGGGGGGAGGGCGGAATCTTACACCACCAGCAACCTGCGGACACCAACTAAACACACATGATCTCACTGGAAATAAAGCATATGCTCTGCTTCATTGACCAAAGGTTGCCTTTCCCTTTCATCAGTGTATAACAAGGCATGTTATGAAAGACTTTATGAAAGATTAAACATTTGTAAGTGAGGAATTTATGAAAAGGAAAGCTAACATCCCATCCAAAGCCATACATGAAGCGAAAACAAGAAAATGAGGCCTCTCTGTGGCATCCAGTGACCCTTCTTGTTATCTTTTACAGACAGGTGCATTTCCACAGGGTTCACACAGAGCATTTATGAAGTACTCTCCAAAGATGCAATATGCACTAACAAAGCTGTGCAAATGTTAGCCTGATAGACACTACACAGCTATACCAGCCACATGCGAAGCAAAAGCTGCTGGTTTCCCCCCCTCCCCGGCCCCTGTCTCAGTTCAGTCTCCTTGCAACAACACTGTCAAGATTCAGAGCCAACATCCTGTTGCAGTGACTGGTATCCTAGAACTTGCTTCTCTGACAAAGGTGATACACCAGACTGGGTGGGTGGTTTTGAGAATTACATGTTAGTTGATTTGTACAGCTCTCCAAAAACTTTAAAAAAAAAAAAAAAGGTGTGCAGTTAAACATACAGTGGTTTGAAAACGCTGATTATTTCCTGAGGGACAACAGTCAGTTTCTATTAACTATAACCAACAGCTGAAAATGAAGATACCCTGCAGGAGACCTCTGTATTGTGGATCAGCATCAATTATTCCTTTCATGTTTTTCACAAGATAACTTCTAGATTTTGTACTGTATTGGAAGGATACACTTTTGAGATCCCCAAAGGAGTCTCCTTTGTTAAGCTGTGAAGCAGAAACCTGGAAATATTGAAGAGGGTTTCAGGCAAGTGGAAACTGAAAGGCTCCTCCTGCAGTATTAAAAATATAGACACATATTTCTAAGCTGGAAAATCAACAACTCCTATCACTAAGCATCACAGCACTAGGCAACTCAAGTACTGTGTTTCTTTCATACAGTTGCAAAAAGGTGCTGACAGAATATAGCAAGTGGATTTTGCATGCCTTTGTCACCAAAGCTCATGCCTGCTATATGCAGAAAGAGAAAGAGATCCATGTAGCTAAACCAGAATCTTTTAACAGGCTATTTGAAAATGAGGGCAGACTGGCCAGCAATAGTGTAGAGTCTCCACCACTGTAAGGTCTGAAGTAGTCTGACCAGCGAAGACCTCTATAGTACAGAGGGTTGGGTTGGTTGCCCCTTTTGGGCAAGGGCTTCTTTTTGACCAAGGGTTCTCAAATGTGTTACAAAAGATATTTTCACCAACAGTGATGGCAACATTACTATAATTGCAGGAAGTAGCAGGAGCTCCTCACTCAGGACTGCTTATCATTTTGGAGTAGTTTACATACATCACTACTGATACACATACCACACTGCATGAATCCCTAAGCTAGAGTGCTTTCTTCTGTTCAATCTTGTTTTCCCATGATTAAAGGAAAAGCCAACCATAGCCTGTGTAGGACCAGAGGCTCAGGTCACTGTGGAACCAGACTGATGTAACTAGCAAAAAAGGGCTGGGGATGGGAAGTCAGTCATCATCATATCTTCTATCCACGCTGAGACAAGCACAGATCTGCTAAAACTGCACTGCAGTTTTTAGGAACTAAAACAACAGAATTTCTTGTACAGTACAGCAGAAGGCACAGAAATAAATAAAGTTACTATACAGTATCACTAATCTACACTCAATATTTAATTGCCTGAAAAGTCATTAATTATTCCTAGTTATTTCTGGACTCCCTACAGAAAAATGCTCAGGAAGCATAAATATACAACTTCTAAAGTCAGTTTCTTACAGTGTATCTTTGAATAGAGTGATAGACATGGTAAACTTCTGCCAAATGCTGGAAGTGATGAAACTTCTGTAACATTTCAGTCTTCTGCTGTTCATTCTCTGCGGGAGGCAAAGGCATTAGTGTAAGTCTCCAAGATGAGTATATGAGACTCAGCTGGAAGAAAACAGCATATGATTTTAGTGCCAGCACTTCCAAAAGAGGTATGTGTCAGTTCAAGCATGTCCCATCTACCTGTGCAAAACACACATTATACATACTTGCCATTTTTCTGAGCAAATTTGTGGTCTAAAACAAGCATGGTAAAACACAAAAAACAGTTGAGGCAGTGGTTTTAACATAACTAGAGGCTATAGCTTAGTTAAAGGTAGAAAATAGTAGGTGTGCATCACTGGAAACCTCATCCATAACTTCAGAGTTTACAAATAAAATTATTTTTGAAACATTTGTTTCATAAACACTAAATACACTACTAAGCCATTTGGAAAAAATTACATCTTTATAAAATACCTGAAGGGTAACAGATCATGCATCAGCTGAACTAAAAAAAAAGGTACTTCTAGCACCAGGCAAAAGGCAGTATTATCAATCTTTTGTATTCATTATTACTAAATTATATCTATTAACTACTGGCTCCACCTCTCTCCCGGTGAAATACATTCAGAAGACAAGATGATAGCTAATGAACAATCAAGTTTTATTTCTGTTGGCAGAAATAATTGGTAAAGTACCTCTCCAATCTATGTTGAAATACTAGATGTATCTTAGACTCCAAGATCATCTTTTATGTACTAGTACGTTAACCCTCCAGTCACTTCTCTAGTTAACGTGTGTTGTGGGAAGGTGCATGAGGATACACGGTCCCAGGAGACATGATTTTGATTCTAGTCAGATTTGAAAAGTAGGCCTATGCATGTTGATGCTGCCGTTTTGCTTATTTGTTTCAAATAAGCACATGGGAAAACCAGGGGGACTACAAAAATAGCACAAGCCAGAATTATGCACAGCATTAAAAAAAAAATAAAGCCACACAACAGTGAAATAGTTGCAAGCAATGCTATCACAATTCAGTAGTTGTTCGCCTACATGCAGAATAAGGTAACAAATATAAACTTCCTTTCAGTTACTTACCTTGGGCTATATCTAAACACTGCATGGAAAGCATCCAGTAATAATAGGCTGCATCGTTAAATCGGCTTTCAACCACAGCATTGTGCGTTAGCTGCTCCAGCACTCTTACAGCTTCACTCTGCCTGCCAGCCTTGTGAAATGCTACAAAGGCCAAAACAAAGAGGATTTTACAGTGCGATTATATCAATTAACTGAAATTAATGTTTTTAAATTAAGAGCAGTCTATTCAGCCAATATCAAATAGTCTATCCAGGGCAGGATAAAAAGGATTATACACTGGTATTTTTCTCCTTGAAAGCAGCGACACTAATGGAACATGAAAAGCATCTATAGGCATTCTGTGGCTTTTGCACTGTCTCAGCAGCTCTTGAGCGCGTAGATTTTGTACAACACTGGTTGCCTTTTTTTTTTTTAATATACAAAAGACCAAAAATGCTATGATGATTAGATCTCTACACAAACAACTGCAAATCACAACTTGATTCAAACCACAATAAATTAATGTTTGAAGTCAGTGCTCTGGTTTGCAATGCTGAATATTTTGAAAGAGTATAGCATCTACTATATCATTCTATCATTTATTAACACCATTTCTTTCTTTGATGCTCAGAAGCCAGCATAAAGTAAGATCCTGAATAGTCACTCAGTAAAAACGCATTTGGCAAATACAATCTTTGTATAGGGTAATGGGGAGAGGACACACACCAACCTCCAAAAAACCTGACTGCACAGCACAATTGCCTCCTGACTTCAGCCAGCTCAGATATAACCAAATTCTCCCATAACTACACAATGATCTCTAGCTCACCCAATTCTGGGGAATTTATATTTGCTGACCCACAGCAGCATAGAGCTTTGTAGAACAAACTGGGAACAATATACCTATGTTCACAGAGTTCTATGTGCAAACTACCAATCTGCCCTAAAACCAGGTGCTCAAAGGTTTGGTGCAGAGACACACAAACTAGTTTTGTGTGGAGACAGGTCATGTCTGGCATGTTCACTCGCTTGGCCCTTATAAGCAAATGCAGTTATACACTTAGATCTGAGCTGGCTCTGCAAACAGCAGATGCAACAGTCACATGGAGCTGCACCTGAGAAAAGTTAACTATAGCAAAAACATGCTGGCTCCACATGGAGATTGCTTCAACATCTCCTTGTCCCTGGAACAGTTTATGAATTAAATTTTGAAGCCTGTCCACGTGATGGAAAGTTGACAATTCTCCTTAAAGGTAATTTTATAAGCCTAACAAAATACATGAAAATTCTTAAGAAACAGGAAAATTCTACTTGTACAAACCCAACATTGCCTAAATATAAGGCAAAACTACACTTTCCACTCAGGTTTATAAGGTGGCCATCGTATTTCGAATTCTACTGTGACAAAAATTATTAATAAAGATGGGTTAGATTATATGCCAAAAAACATTGCCATGTGCCATACTCAGATATACAATGCGATGGAAAATCTGAACCTGTATTTAGATGCCATCATTTTTGATAGATTCATCACATTTTCTTATCAAATAAGGAGACTTCCAAGCTGTTTTAAGACCAGTATGAAAACACAGATTCTATTTGGTTTTGAATCCCACTGATAAGAAACTCTCCGGGGCAGAGACTACATATTCTGTATTGAAAAAGTATGGACTAAATTTCGAGCGACAAGTGATCTGTCAGTGACATTCTTACCTTTTTGGGCTTCTTCAAATCTATCATTCTCTGCTAGCCACTGAGCATAAGGGACATAGACATCATCTTTGAATTCAGGATGCTTTTCACTCAAAGCAAATGCCTGAGGTAAATAAAAATTCATTTTTACAATACTGCATGGTTTAAACAGTTAAAGGGTTTAGAATATTCCATGGGATCAGTCCTTTCAGTAAATTCACAATAAAAATACATACACAGCATAGAGAGTGTAATCCATATTTTCTCCAGTATGAAAAGAATGTATTTTAAAATAAAAAAAGCAATCAACAACAAAAGAAAAGAAGCCAAGCATAGTAACAGTCTGGCTATTGAAACAGGGAAACTTGAAAGTGATTATCTAGGAAATTTAGATTTCACAGCAAGAGTCAAAAAGTATTTTTGTTTTTACCAAATGTATCTTCTAAAGAAATAGAACTAATACTATAAATACAGTTTAGATTCACTTTCCAAACTTGCTAACTAGCCAATAAAGGACTAAGTCTACAATTTTCTAAAGCACCCACATAATTGGGGGAGGGGGTTTGTCAATTCAGCAGCACTTTGAAAACATTTCCTTAAGAAACTACACCTATCAAAAACTTAATGTGAAAAAAACAAGAACAAAATTAATGGTGACCCCAGCTGTGAAGTGGGTGGTACTGGCAGACCCATGTTTTTATGGAAAAACTCAGTGCAGTCAGAACTTCACCTAATCAGAAGCACAAATCCAGTTATAGAGTGAGGTCCACACTAACACAGCACACATCATCAGATCTGGATTATGTGTATAGTATTCTCACTCGTGTGTGCCCAAATTATAAATAACACAGTGCAAAACAGAATTTACCACTATATAATTTCTATTTATCTTTCTGATGGACTAGAAGCATCTCATGGATTACCATAGGAAGTGGGCAACTATAACTCAACAGGCAAAAAAGGTGCTCAGAAGCGAGACCAAGAAATACTCATCCAGGAAACCAAAAAGCAAAAAACCAAAACCACCACTAAACACACACTGAGCATACAATATTAACTTAAATACTCTGAATCACATTCTACAGAAGCCTCCCTCCCTGCCTCTCCCTTCACTAGCGTGGTGGGGGAGCCAGATGTTTGTCCCCCTTTCTTGCAAGCAGAGACAATAAGCAGCAGTGGTTTTAAACACAGAAATCAAGGGCACCCTTACTTCTTCCCAGCGACGAGTCTCCACGTGGAGATGGACCAATGCTTTCAGGTCACCAACCTTCATGTAGGTTTCTGCTGCATAGCCAGGGTTATCAAGTTTCTTAAAATAGAAGGCACATTTTGACAAAGGCTCACGCTCAGCTTTATCCAGTTTTCGAGCAATTTCAATTAACCTAGACCCAGAAAAAGAAGCCAAATGTTTCAGGTTCTGCCTTGTTGTTTTGCCTTTTGTTTAATTATTGTAATAACTTCACCTTTAATCAGTTATTATTTAATAAATATCGTAATAGTAGTAGCATGCAACACTAAACAGTTTTCAGTAACCATTCAAAATTCTTTTTTTTTTTTCTTTTACAAACTCAAAACCTTTTCCTTCAGTCTTTACTTGTAAGTGCAATTCCACATCTCTGACTCCTTGCACACTCATGAAGATGGAGGGAGGGAGTAGGTCCTACGTGACTAAGCGACATGGGACACACTTCCTCAACCCTGACCTAAAGACTCATGAATAAACATCACCCCCGTTGCCACATAGGAAAACTGAGGCAAGGGAAGGCTGAGTGACCTGTCCAGGATCTTACGGCTATTCAGCAAACGACCTAAAGTGTCACCTATTGCAAATCAAGGAGAATTTGACTGGTGACAGGAGTAGCCCCAGAATTTCTAGGGATTCTGTACTCCAGTTGTCTTCTCTACCCACTAGATGATTATCTTTAACAGCTTAAAACAACAGAAATAGGCTATCACATATATGCACTGCTGTGATGATTACTCTGAAAAGCTTAAGGCGTGCGTATTTTAGAAGACAGTCTCATACTAAGATGAAACCATTCATATTCTTTAATGATGTAATGCATTTGTTTTTGTAACATTTATGTCCCTACCTTCTAAACATATGTAACTTTTAAAACATTTTTAATTGTGTATGTGCTTCAAATAAGTCAATTTGATATAAACAAAGGCACATATCAAACAAATTTTGTCTTATTTTGAAATTATGCAGAATTGATAACAACTCAGTCAAGGTTTAAATATATATTATCTCCAAGATGGAACTAAAACCTACATATCAACCCAGCCATGGTCCCCACTGATTTCTATGGCCTTCATGTGCTCGCCTGCAGAGAGGTACATCTCCACTGCCGCTTTTGGTTCATTGATATTCTTGGCCCAATCCGCTTGTTTTTTTATTAGCATCTTTGTGTCTTTGGGGTCTCCAGATCCCAGAAAATCCTGAAATAGTGCAATACAAAAGTTTGCATTATCTTCTGGTGACAAACATTGTTACAGCTGAAATTCTAAAATACCTTTAAACATGCATTAAACATAAATACATCTAAAATACAAGGCTTTTTAAATGAATATTGTTATGCCTCCCAAGAAAAGAAATACTGCATACAGAGCAACATGAACTGATCCAGCCTTCAGCAACTAATCATCATGGCACAATATTTGGTAGGAAACAGTGGCAAGACTCCCATTTAGATAGTTTTTCATTAAGGAAAACAAAGAAAAAAAAGAAGTGGGAGATTCTGAGAGGGCCAGGAGAGTGACGATACGGATGCCTCAGGGGTAATGAGTATGTCCCCACTTGATATCTTTCAAAGTTTGTTCTCTGTTGAGCCTGTGTATGTGCATACAACTTACGATTTCTGCATGCTTTTCAGGAACATGTCATAGAATCATAGAATCTTTGGCTTGGAAGGGACCTTTAAATGTCATCTAGTCCAACCCCCCTGCAGTGAGCAGGGACATCTTCAACTAGATGAGGTTGCTCAGCGCCCCATCCAACCTGACCTTGAATGTTTCCAGGATGGGGCATGCCTTTCCAAAACAAAATAGTACTAATCTCAAAACTGTAATAGATCAATTCCAAGTTTCGGATTTTCTTTTGCAAGCCAAGAAGGTATGATTTCATTCTTAAAGATGACCCAGCACCAACCCATGCTTAGTTAAGAATAGTATACCCACTTAATCATACGTTAGCATCAGGATGCCCAGCCACAAATCAACTAAAGGCTGAAATTTTGTTTTCTGCAGACACTTGATAATTATATTACAATATATCAAAGAAGTTCTTTTATAACGATGGAACAACAACTGTTCACAAGTAAGAGTGACTCTGAACTACTGGTTGGACTTCTGCAAGGAATGCAAATACCAAGCCTGGATGCTGTGATGATGACCATTTTGGAAATATTTTTAATAATTTGTTCAGCTGTTTCTGCCAATACCAAAGCCCTGGCACCACATGGTTCACATCTGTTGACATCATGTGCCCAGGGGAGGGGGG